GGCCCAGGCTGATTCAAACCCTCCACCTTAGGTGTATGTGGCTGGCGCCTTAGCCACTTGAGCCATAGAGTTTAACATTTTTTGGAATAAATTATTTGCAAGTGAGGACAAAAGAAAGATAAATACCCAGAGAGGTTTCTTGTCTGGCGCAATTCATGAAATATGAATAGTGAGTGTCTTTTCATAGGAAAGTTTGAACTTAATTGTTTTAGAACATGTTAAACTTCAGTTATACCCCCAAATACTGCACTTAGTAACTAAACTTACCATTTTATAGCACATAGGAAGACATGGGTTCTCTTCTTCCCAATATCTAAATTATCTCATGGAAGGAAATTGAATATTTAATTGTGAACATACTCCATTTGAATATAGTTTAAATGGAAAGAGAAATATCTCAAGACTCACTTTGTTGCCCTGGGTAGAATGCCATGGCATAGCTCACACAACCTCAACCTCTTGGGCTTAAGTGATTCTCTTGCCTCAGCCTATAGCACCTACCACAACACCCGGCTGTTTTTAGAGACAGGTCTCGCTCTAGCTCAGGCTGGTCTCGAACCCACAAGCTCAGGTGATCTGGCCTCCTTGGCCTCCCAGAGTGCTGGGATCATAGCCGTGAGCCACCAAGCCTGGCCTTCTGATTCTTTAGTGTTGTAAATTTTTTTCTTTGTATGTGTAGGAGATACGTATGTATGTATGTGTGTATATATACAGGCATACACAAACCAAAATAAGAAACTGAGGCAAAGCCTATGGAGGTGTACTTAGCTAAAATTGAGGAAAAGTATAAACTACAGACAAATTTGGCTATTTTTCCAAAGAAGAATTTGGAAGTTTCCATATTTAAAAGAGTAGGGCATAGAAAACCAAGGAGGGGGCAGAGAGGGGTGGGCCTAGTGAGACAACTCTACATTATATATAAAATAAAGGGAATATTCAAAGAGAAAAAGGGAGTGAAAGAAGTATCAGTTATATACATGTGGCTGGGCAGGTGGAAGAAAGAATGATAGGTCTTGTCTCTGTTCTCCTTCTGGGAAGATAAACTTGTAATTCATTCTAAGTATGCAATCAAGCCAACTTTAGTTTTAGGCCTATAAACCTAAAGTTGCAATTTGCATATTCTTGTTTATGGGAGGCCAGAAAGGAACTTCCTTATGAATGATCCTTCACAGATGCCTGAGGCTTTTACCTTTCTTTTGCAGTGTGTGTGTGGGGGGAGGGGCAGGAGATTCCTGAGATTTTTTTATTTTCTTTTAACGTGTGTGTGTGTGTGTGTATACATATATATTTGTGATATCTGTGTATATTTTCTTCATATATATATTGATTCCATATATATATATATATATAGAACTGAGGAAATCCCAAAGTAACAAAAGATGGTGTGACTGTTGCAAAAGCAATTGACTGAAAGCATAAATATAAAAATATTGGAGCTAAACTTGTTCAAGATGTTGCCAATAACACAAATGAAGAGGCCGGGGATGGTACCACCACTGCCACCGTTTTGGCACGTTCTATTGCCAAGGAAGGCTTTGAAAAGATTAGCAAAGGTGCTAATCCAGTGGAAATCAGGAGAGGTGTGATGTTAGCTGTTGATGCTGTCATTGTTGAACTGAAGAAGCAGTCTAAACCTGTGACAGTCTGCAAATGGCAACAAAGAAATTTTTTTTTTTTTTTTTTTGAGACAGAGCCTCAAGCTGTCCCCATTGGTAGAGTGCCATGGCACTACAGCTTACAGCAACCTCCAACTCCTGGGCTCAAGCGAGTCTCCTGCCTCAGCCTCCCAAGTAGTTGGGACCACAGGCGCCCGTCACAACCTGGCTATTTTTTGGTTGCAGCAGTCATTGTTGTTT